GCAATACTTAGAGATGGGCTGTGGTGGTTTCGAGGGCAGTATGAAAGTGGGGAGGGAAGGGGTTGTATGTGAAATGTAGCGAGATAAGCTTGCGATGGTCTCTTCTTGATGCCATTGACTGTGGAGACGAGGTTACTTGGAATGGTGATAGCCAATGAACAGGGAATTTGTGCTGGTGTACAGTTGTTTTTGACACAGACAGAGGTTTCACAACAGAAATTGTCAGGACCTCACTGTCCCTCCCTACCACCCTTCCCACTCTTTATCTTGTAGGAGGAAAGAACAACATCCCTTTCCGTAAAAGAATGGGCCACTCCGTTCAATGTTTTTTATTTTATTTCTACCACACATCCCACACATACAACACTTTTCTCAGCCCTTATCGTGGCATTTCTTGTAGGGTGGTCCGAAATTTTTATGTAAGTGAAGCATCTTCAGACAATGCTGTTAATAACCTATAAAATAATTTTTACACAATTGTAGAAAAATGCGTTTGTTAAGGTAATGATTGCGGTATACCTAACATTCACGATTAGGAAGTGAAAATCATAAGGTTTTTTTATATTCATGTCAAGTATTGGACAGGTGATATTCCGGAAATGATTTGTGACCGTTCACTTCAGAATTGTTTATCTCAATAATATTTCACTCTACGGATGTGAAAGTTGGTCTCACACTGTGAGCGAAGAACAGAGTGTCTGGGGTTGAAAGACAGGAAATCATAGGATGGGGAAAATTACAAAATGTGAAGTCACATATTTTGTGCTGGTCACGCAGAATTGTAAGTTTGAAAGAATAAAGGTTGTTGAGCTTGGCGGGTGGGTCGGTGCGAGGGAAATGATAAATTCTTAACAACTTTTGGTCGGGAAGCCGCAAGAAAAAAATAATTGTATGAGCAGTAGATGGGAGGATAGTAATGACGTTGGTCTAAGAGTAATGTGGTGTGAAGGCATGGATTACTGGTTCAGGATCGAGTCCAATTTATATCATTTGTAAACAGGATGATAAACATTCCGGCCATAAAAAAATCAGATAAATTCTTGAACGTCTGACAGAATATCGACTTTTCAGAGTAAACCATGATTATTGGTTTCGATCTTGTGTTCAACTTACTCTCGGATCTAAAATCTAGTGTCTTCGTTTAGAAGCAGTTCATAAACCGATATTCCTCTTTGCCTTTTCGCAGACCAACATTCTGACTTGCTGCGAACATTTCCATAAATAAATCCTTCGTTTCGTGTCCTTTCAAAAATTTGTCACTAATTCTAAACGCTTAATGTGCATGTCATAATTTACACTTTTAGTTTTATTACCGAGTTGAACGATTCATGAAACGAGAAAGGCTTCAGGGACTGCCGTAGATGTGATATAGAGGTGAACATGTGGAAGAAATTGTTTAATTTATTTTTAAATTAGGTTATACATTACTGAGACAGGATATTCCTACCTTCACCGGTGTTGAATCTTATAATCTGGTCGACTGTCAGAGTCGTTATGTAAACAGTAAATAAATAATGTGTTAGGAACCACATACGCCGATGTGAATGCATAATTATGGACGGATGATCAATTGTTGAGTGATTCAGTGATTAGTGACCTCAACATTCAAACAGCTTTAGACAGACTGCAATAATTTCTTGTTGACTACTGTTTAACTATATTAGCCTCTACCAAATTGCATGGTTCAAGGTCACAGGAAATGTAACAACGTTGCAACACTAACACTGGAGCTCAGGCGAGTAAAGACAGCTCAAAAGTCGCAGGGTAGCAAAGCTATCAACACAGTTCTACTGAATTAGATTTGCGTGGGGAGGTCCTTCCATGTCCTTGAAGCATGTAATTTGTTGATTGCTACTACAGTCTCTGTGGTATGCACATGGATTGATGTGGGACGAAATACCGGCTGGAGCAGTAATAACACGCATCGAGTCCTTGGTTATAGTGATAACATTTTTAAACCTTTCCCATTTTTACTCACTGTAATGCCAGCCTGTCACATATAGGTTATGTATTACAACAAGCCTGGTGAAATGTATACAAGTCTCCTGTTACCTGTAAAATTCATTAAGTTCAATTTAGTATTTTATTATCAATATCTTGAAGGAGCACTTCTCCATAAATGTGTACATGACATTGGCTTATAGTATAGCCTACGTTTGTCACTATTCTGACTGCGATAATCCTTTTCGACATTTCAGTATGTGCATCTACTTATTGGTATCGTATTTTAAGCTCGAGTAAAGTATTACTATAAGTTATAAGATTATAATTTAGGAAAACATTCTATTTGATGAAGCTTACTTCTTATTAAGGACTCGTATGATAAAACTACATACTATTTCATCCACGCCAGAATGGAATATATTTAAGCTCAGTACATGTGTGCTTACAAGTCGAAGAAAATAGGTATTCACTAGTTGTAGGAAGGCGCACTGTCGCACTTGTTGACATTTGGAGATTGTTCAGAGTAGTTTAGTCGACTGTAAACCCACTCTCTTCAATTATCTTTAGATTTCAATCATCATTTCCGAAAAAAGAATGTAAAAGATAACCAACTACGAATAGTATGGATTTTTGCATACGTGAAACGAAGGATAGTAAATGTGTGACAACCCGTTCCAATCGGTTAAATTTACGTATGAGGTTGGAACGGTATCGGTAAAACAATTTTCAGAACACTGCCTTGAAACAGATATCTGGAACAGAGTTCTTGAGAGGAAATAGTCACTAAAGGAAACCCCCGCTTTTACGTCGCTCTCAATCAAAGTGATTGCCATGTTGGTACACTGGTTTTCAAGTAAGGTCGAATAAATCTGCTCGCATATTTAGTTTCGATGTTTTTGAATATATTGCATTTCTTTAATTTGTTTGTTGTTTATTTCTGTTGTAGAGTATTCGTTTTCTATTATCTTATATAATGATGGCTACATGCAGAGTAATAGAATAAATCAATTTTAAGTGGTAGTTTTTTACAGCATAGACAGAGCAGTCAATACAATGACTAGACCAGAAGACCGGGCTTCGAATCCCGGCAAGACAGGATTTATTTTTTCATCGCGAGCACACCGGCTCTGGGACCCATCCAGCCACTTAACCAATGGGTGCCGGGTTCTCTCCTCGGGGTTAAACAGGCCAGTTTGTGAAGCTAACCACTTACCTCAATCTAGTACTGAGGTTACGAGTGCAAAAAGTTACTGACCTGTTATCACCTTTCATATCTTTGTGCTATGATGCTTAATTATAATCATAATAATTATCATGGTGACTTAAAATTCGGTTTGTGTGTCCATTTTTTTAAACACATGCGAAACACTGAATTGTAACATTGTAATTTATTTCATGAATGATATCTGAAAAGTATCATTGGAGATCATCTCAGCTAATCCAAATAGTTACGGGGTTTACGAAAAGTGTATTAGAACTTTAGATTGGAGTCTCGCTTTTCGGCCATACTGTGGCTTGATGCTGATGCTGCAGCCGTTAGGGTCGAAGGGCTGGCTGCAGAAGACAGTCTTATAGTCACCCGAGTGCAACTGATGGGGCAGACTGCCTGAATTACCGTATTATGCTTCCTCAATGGTGCTTCTTGCATCCCCTTCCAAGCTGGCTCAGACACCTCGCACGCAGCTACACAACCAGGAGAAAAAGGATTGGACGTTCGTCGTTGTTCGCTTGATGGTCATCATTGGTTAAACTGGAATTCGAAGTGAAGAACTTGTTTCCCGCCAAGCGAAATTGAACCTTTCATATTTCACAAAGCGTGGACTATGGGCGGGGGTTGTCAGAAACTGCTGTCACTTGTATTGTGCCTGCAGACTTGTTCAGTATTTATAGGAGAAAAACTTAGTTCCGCTCTCACGAAGTCGTACCACTTCGTAATAGCCTATTTAAATTATGTGAAAACGGAAACAAATGAATGTTGGACCTCTATTCTCTACTAATTTAGAAATTCCGTTCACATTCTGAAAGAGCACGTAAAGATAAAATTATGTTTTAAATAATGCAGCACTGAGAACAAATATTAAGCAACTTGACCGTGTTTCTCCGAGAATCGCGTTTAAAAATTGACTTTGATATAAATTTTGAAGTGTACTCTATGGAAAAGAAAATATTTTCTTCAGATAATTCATTGAAGAAAAATAAAATATAAAGAATTTTACTTGGAACAACATGGCATTAAGATGCTTATCTGCTGCATCCCAACTCCTCTGATCTTGACTCTTACTTCTAATGGCCCTCAGACGCACAGATTCGTCTCGACTACAATACTATTTAAAACTCAACCGAAAACATTTAGAGATTAAATCGAAAGGAGGTCCACTCCCGCCCAATACACTTTCCCAAAAACCCCTGTGACACTTCAGCCAAGTTCATGTCGTTACTAGGCCGCTCCTCTCGTTAGTTGCGCAAGAGCTGTGCACGTGTGAACACGATTTATTCCCGAGCAGAACTTGTGTTCATTATCAAAGTCGTTTGCTGTATTCGTAAAACATTTAGCAATGCGTGTCGTAAAATGTAATGAATAATACAATACGCAGACTGATTGAATTACCGGACACAGAGAGTTATCATCGTCCAACAAAACAGCTGAATTACGGAAGTACCGACTTCAAGCAGTGCATCAGCTTCAACAACGGGATACGTCTGAAAGAATTTAATATTGCTATTTGTTTCGTCGTTTTGTAAATAAATGGGTTCGTGCGTAGAACTTTGGGTTGCGTTTTAAATGAAACAACGTATGCTTTACGAATTGTTAGTTTGGGCGAGATCTTGTTGAGTAAGAGAACGTGAAGGCAGGTAACAATCCAATTTCTTCAATAATAATTTCTCTAGTCTTAGTTGGAGTGTCATTAAATTTAAAAATTTATTTCCCTAACAACCACACAGTCATCGTATCTCGGACGTCTGTCGGTTGCAACTAGTGGCAGTGACAGACTCATATCAGTAAATCTCCCACTCGTATTTTATTTTATCTTATCAGATCTTAGTCGAGAAGGAGTTCAAAAGGACAACAATATAATCCTTGTCATTATTATCACAGTGAGTCATGTGACCATGAATGATTCTAGCCCCATGCCAGCCAGCAAAATATTTTCTCTTGCAAGAGTGGAGACGAGTGTGTGGAGCTGGTGTTCCTATCATAAGGAGGACTAGTAATATGACGATAGATGGCATGCTAGTGGAGAAGTGGGGTTAGACATTTGGTGGTTAAAAACAAACTACAGTTGCTGACAGCCCGTTTCCTGTCATGGAGATAATAAGTGTATTGGTGACAAGTATAAGCGGTGGACGTGGTAACTTCATTGAAAACCAGAGGAATGCACGTTTCTTGAATTGTGTACTATGTGCGTAATTTCCCATCGATGCCAACTTAACATCACGGTATGTCATTTTTTCAGCATATTATTTGTTTAATAGATCCATAAATGTATATATAATAGTGCCTTCGCCATTCTCTGAAGTCAAAAGCGGACATCAAATTGCGATAAACATTGTTCTGCACAGTACACAATTTAGTCCCTTCTCCGCTCTGATACCATGTTTACAGTTCTAGGACGATGAAATCAAACGCAGAAATTGACCTATTTGACGTTTCCACAGCTCTGTGAATTTAGACAAATATTCTCGGTTTAAGCCAACCCGAACTCTCCTGTTCCTACACTAACGTCTCCTAGGACCTAAAAGTTGTACAAATGCGCCTGTTACCTTCGTCCTGTCTGTGTCCTACTCCGGAACCAGTGAGAGAATTTATGTTATACTTAATATTGGAGAATTTTACAAAACTGTACCAGCACACTCCGGTTTTCTTTAAGATCGGACAACAACAAGAAGCACGTTACATGAAAATGAAGTGTTTCCATGCGCCGAACTGCCTGGTTGGAGAAGCACCGAGAGGGAATCACTAGCGGGTGAGAGCTCTGACGTCAGTCGGAAAGATTAGAAGTCAAATTCTGTCGAATGCGCCCAAATTAAAAGGCTATGAATGCGTTTCCAAGACGTTTATGTTTTGTCGTTCTTTGGTAGGAACACGGTGGAAGACCAATCTACCGCCTAAGGAGAACCCTAGAAC